TGAAATAATACTAGAGAATTTTATTGTTATATGAATATTTTTGGAATTTTCATGTTTTTCAATTATTTTTGAATTTGTAAATTTTATGTTACTATTATAATAATATTCATAAATGTAATGGAAATTATTAAAACAATTTGTTTAAAGAAACAAAATTAAAATTAATCTAACAGAAATTATTGATATAATCTGTTTAATAAATAATGTTAATTCAACAGGACTTATTAATATGGCTTGTTCAAGAAAAAAATTAATTCTATAGCACTTATTAATATAGTTTATCTAAGAAAACAAAATTAAATCAAAGAAAATAATGGCTTATTTTAAAAAAGGAGTATGCACTAAAGTTTAATCAATATAATGTATATTTACAAGTAATATTATTGATACAAGCAAGAACTTTGTTATTTTATTAGATTAAAGCATGTCTTCTCAGAGATTCAAAGTAAATAAATTTTTTTGTTACCAATTATTTGATTAAAATTTTAAATTATAAAATATCAATATATTGTTATGTTAAATTTCAATATAATAAATATGATTATTCAAGTAACAAATTCAAATAATGTCTTTATACAGTTTTGGATCCTAATTTCCATGTAATACTTGATAGTGAGACAGGATTTATTCGAGATTTCAAGTTTTTGAAAGTTGATTCAGCAAAACTTCAAGATAACCATTTTGTAATGTCTATGGATATTCAAATCTGGAATCAAGGAAACACAATTTTAGCTAATTATTTGCACTTTGTGTCTAATAGCTTTATTAAATAAATATGTTCATTTTATCTCTGTAGAACCAAAATGATTAATTTTTAAGGCAAATTAAAACTTAATAGCAATTCTAACTATTAGAAAGCTTAATAAACTATTTATTATTAGCTTCAGATAAAAAATTTATTCATTTTAAAGAAGCTTTAAGAAATGATCTGTATTGTGTTCATAATAAAAAGGATATTTAAAGCAATAAAAATTTATATAACGATAATATAAACTTATTTATAATAATTAAATAAAGATCTAAACTATCTATTTATTGAAAATTGACAGTGATTGGAAGAATATAAAGATAATAATATTGATAATTAAAATTGTGCACTAACACTAAGAAAATTTTTACATGTATATTTGGATGATATTACATTGCAAATCATGGGACATATTGGGTGACCGGTAATGCTCAGCCATTCTTTTTTTATCATTGTTTTGGCGTTTCTACTTATCCCTAAAAAGATATCGAAATAGAACAGTTCGTACGTATTTATTCTAAAGTGTAAAAGCTTTAGTTTCCATTATAGAGGGTGGTTATTTTTACTCTTCTTCATTTTCATGCATCAATCGTTTGACAAACACATGTGAACGACGACGACTTCCACTCCACCACATATAAATCTTCGTTTTGGACATAAATCACTGCCATCATCACTATTCAACCCAAAGATGGAAATTAAATCTTTGAGGACTCATGATTGTAGTAAATGTACTTACTGATTGTCAAAAAAATGTGTACCGGTAATGTGATGGATGTTTTCTTTATCACAAACGAATTTATAAATCTGAAATAAAGATATCGATATCGATATCGACAGTCTAATAAATGAATGCAACAAAATTAATAACGATACTATATTCGAATGGAACCCTTTTGAAAGATTTATCAATGTTGAATATCTTGCAAAAGGAGATTTCGGAACAATTTATAAAGCAACCTGGTTGACGGTTCACCGTATCGGTGGAATCATGTAAATAAATTTAAACGATGGGCAAAATAAATTTAAGCGAAGGGGAAAACAGAAAGTTGTGTTGACATCATTACAAATTCAAAGCAAATTACATAAGATTTTAGAAAAGAAGTAAAAATTAACAACTTCTAAAATGTAATCAAGTTGTTTTTTTGTTTTCTAATACGATTAAACTTTTCAAAATTAGATACAGACTGCTCTAAAGTGCATTTATGATGATATTAAATATTATGGAATAACTAAAAACTCAGCTACAAATGAATATTCGGTAGTAATGAATACTCATGATTGTAGTGAATGTATCGCTTGTCAAAGAAATTTGAACTGTGATGAATGTAATAAATACCATGAACGCATCGAATGGTACAGCGGAGATAAAGATATCGACAGTCTAATAAATGAATGCGCGAAAATCTATGATAAATTCGAATGGATCCCTTTTGAAAGATTTACCGATGTTGAACATCTTGCAAATGTAGGTTTCGGAACAATTTATAAAGCAACCTGGTTGGATGGACCAATTCATACAGCAACCTCCTTGTTTAGCCGTCAATCAAATTGTTACATCCGAGTTTATAAACGAGGTAGAAATAAACACCTTTAAGTGTAAGCATATTATTTTTTTTTGTTTTTCAATCTAATTAACTTTTTCAAAATTAGATTCAGACCGTTCTAAAATGCACTGATATAATAAAATATTATGGAATAACTAAAAACCCACCTACAAATAAATACTCGATAGTGTAGTGATGGATTATGCAAAAGATGGCGATCTACGCAAATATATGAATTCCAACCACCAAAAATTGAATTGGAAAAAAGAAATAATTAGAATATTTACAATAACGAATTTGTGCATCGTGACTTTCACCCTGGAAATTTATTAATTAATATTAATCCTCGAATTGCTGATTTTGGACTTACCAATTTGCGGAGTATTTCCTTATATGAGTCCAGAGGTACTAAATGGAAAACCATACACTAAAGCTGCCGATATTTATAGTTTCGGGATGATCACGTATGAGATTGCCACAGGTGAACGACCATTTGGTGAGCGGAGTCATAGCAATGATCTCGTATTAGACATCTATAACAGAGTTCGACCTACGATACCAATTAATGTTCCTAAATTCTTCAAGTTTATTATTGAAAAATGTTGGGATCCTATTCCAGAAAACAGACCAACTACTGAGGAACTTCATGAATCTTTAAGATCTATCAACGATACTGGTGAGATCATGAAGTGGTAATACTTTGCATTTTCAGTACAGCTCTTTAGAATATCCTGAGAAACACAAAATTAAAGAGTCTTAAACTAGAAAAGCAGAAATGGAAAGTACTTGACGAGATGAAAAGCGTTCCTACGAATATGAACAAAAAAACAAGCACTCCACTCCAATGCAGTTTACACCAGTCGAGTCTTTACCACAAAACTAATTTCAATTCCAACTGACAGAGGTACTTTCTATTTCGAAATATAAATCATATCGTTATTATCGTTTCACGTTAATTAAAATTTATATCGAATGTTTAGGGTTGACAAGTGTCGTCTGTTTGTTCCAAGCGATTTCGATTTGAGTATACTACACGAAACCAAAGAGAACGAAGAGATGTCGAGTAACTTGCAAGAAAAACACATATGCAAGATGAAAAACTTCCAACAGAATAAGGCAATATCAAAAAGAAAAATACTGCGCTTTGTTGGAATTTATAAATTATCTTTTATAATTATTTGTAAATATTTATTTATTCATACCGATACATTAGCGTTGACGTTAATATGTAGAGATGGGATGTATTATGCTCATTGTTTTGACGTTTCTGCTTATCCCTAAAAAGATCTCGAAATAGAACAATACGATACGTATTTATTCTAAAGTGTAAAAGCTTTAGTTTCCATATATATCGATATAGGGTGGGTATTTTTTACTACCCCAGTAACACCGACAAAGTTTCACTGTTACATGATCTCCTATCCAAGATCCGGGGCATCCAATATACATGTACCAACTACCCCCCGACAAATTTTCAATGTCACGTGGTAATCTGGTGACTTGTTCGTGTGACTGCTATTACGTATATTGTCCACATTTGGTGGCAACTATTATTATCATTATTACTATTATGCAACAGATTTGAGTTCATGCCAAGATTGCTAGCTTCTTTGGACGAATAACGACAACTTGTTTGTAGTGTAATCGCATTGTTTCGTCGACTTACGACTACTTTTGGTGACATTTCGCTTCTAAGTTAATTCCGGTCAGATAAGTTTTACGTATGTTGTTTAAGTTTTATGTTGTTTGTTAGTTGACGCTTCGGTTTGTTGCTGATATCGGTGGAAAGTTTGCTTTGTTTGTCTAGTCGTTGGTTTATTACTTCCGACTCCTCGCCATTATTACTTTGATATTGGAAGTTGGTCGTCATAAATGTTTAATTCGTGCTGGATTCTGTTGTATTAGTCAGATTTGTCGGGTTAGTTGTGTTCTTCAGGCATAATTGGTGGGTTTTTTCCATTTTTTTGGCGTTTTCGGGTCATTCCGCCCGTTCCTTCTTCGAAATGAGACAATCCCAAACCGGAAACGCTGTAATTTCGTGAAGACTGAACAACAACTTCGATGTTATTGCTCAGTAAGCCATTGGTTGATTGTTCATAACGAACTCCCAAATCTGTGCTAAATTTCGAATTTGCGGTGGTGGAGCATGTGCGTGTATTAGTGCTACGTTGATTGATGTGCCATACCAATACTAATGTGAGCTTAATATTTTTTCTAACGTTATATCTTTAAGAGTTTGACTTTATCTAGAAAAAGCAACGATTGTTATTAAATTTCATTTAAGAGCTTAAGGCTTTTAGCTAGAAAAAGTAACGATCGAAACCCCTCAACACCTACCTGAAATATATAATCTCTCCCAAAATCAACTCAAACGACGATATTCGTAGATATCGACAGAGACTTTAGAAGCTGAAACGAACATTGCTCAGTCTATCAACCTATCCCAAAAAGACTTGTTGCGGTAAAACTTCCCCTATTCGCTCAATTTAAATGAAGCCGCAACAATGTCTATTTATCATCCCTGTATTTGGCTCGTGAGCCAGCTCGCGAGGAGCTTCAACTTCAAGTTTATGAATAAAAATTTTTCACCTTCTCAGATCACATCACTATTCATATCGATATAAATTTGTGATATCGATATTTATTTGAATTGTATTATATCACATCGTAATTAAGAATAACTCGAATGCCATACAAAACTTTATTCATACAAAACTTTATTGACTTCATAACAGTTAATATATTATTTCTTTGGTGTCAATTTAACCCTAGCTCCAAGACAAGTATTAATGAAAATATTTTGATATTTTATGGGCAAGTCAATATCAAGTAGCTGCACATTATACTTGCGATATAACAAAACCGTC